AAAAAAACCAAACCAAACAAAACGGCCCTTTTCAGGGCCAAAACATCCTCCAAGAAGGGATACACCGTAAAAAATACACAGAAAACATAATCACACACATTATTTGTCTCAATAAACATATTTTTGTTAGCAAATGCTTGACCTGAAAGAGAGATAAAAGTAAATGATTAGTACTTGAGTAAGTGAGAACAACAGTGATCAACGCACGCTAGCTCCTCCCCTTTTTTGAACCACCCATACTCATAACCACCACCCCACACCTAAATGGTATAGTCCGCACGCAAGTTGTTGGCGCTTAAATTGACAACATCCAAAATATGTTACGCCCGATACTTGAATTGATCTCATTGGTTCACACACAGCCCAGTGTTCTTAACGAATGCGTACATATAGCGGCACGGGTTAATATACAATGCAGTATCTGATCCCTGTACTAGCTCAGTGATGAAGCGTCTCCAGTGGAGTAAGCCGATATGTTGTGTAACACCTCTGTAAATATGGATTTATTAAAGTAATGGAGAATGCTTTTGTTTGTGTTTGTGTTACGTTTTGTCCAATTTCCGGCACAAAACTTATAATCAATATGTTTTCGAAATTCAATTGCTAACGCTTTGAATAGTGTTCCAACATGCACGACTCACCTCCGCCTCCGTTCTGAATAACGTTTTCTTCATCCACTGGCAGGCCATCAAATATTTCACATATCATTTCCAAGACCCAACAAACCCCACCATTTTACCCATAACAGCATTGAGAGAAATTAAAACAGAGTATGACATTTCAAGTAGTATATTTATATGTGCCATTAAATTGATATTGTAAACGTCACAATCACATGTTATTAACAGACTTCAAATTCAAATAATTTCAGTAATACAAATAACATTTGATTTCCAATAATGAGTTGGACAAACACAATTACACATGTACTTGTAAACACGTGAAAATAGTGTACATACAAATTCTAAAAAGGAATTTATGTCAGTCAAACCTGTCTATAGCAACCACCCAACGAACTTCATTAAAATGATACCATAGACAGTTATTATATAAAGGTGGTCACTAACATATGTATGACTTTCTGTTAATTTAAAATGTATTTGTTATCAAATGTTTAAAAATTACAAATGTTATTTGTCAAAGAATTGTGCTAGGTTACTTTAGAGTCGACATCTATTATAATAAGGCAACTCGTTTAACAAATAGATGTGTTTTCATAAAAAAAATACAATCAATAGATTATGTATTGGCACGGCTGTGTGTCAGAACAATGTTGGTTGTATAAGTATGTCGCAGGATATGCCATCTTCCAACAGCAGATTTGGCCAAGTTCAAAATATCCAGCGACCGTACAGTCATTACTGATATCATAATGGGCGTACAAAATCACGTTGTCGGAGGGTGCCACCGGCGGTTCTGTCGAAAAGGTCCCTACAGGTCGCGATACCAGAATCGCTGTCCAGTGGGTTGGTACTACTGGCACCTAAGGCGTCTATCACTGCTTGCCTGCAATCATTGGGGCAATCCTCATTTGGAGATTTGCATAAAGGCTTGATGTATGATATATCTGTGACGTCTATCAGCACAGTGCTGGTAGGGCTTGTTCCCGTAGTGATTTCACATGTACATCTGTATGGGTATGAAAAGAGATCTTTTAACTTAACCATCTAACATGTGGGGTTTTGGAGACATAAATCTATCAAAATCACGAAGGCTTGTCTATTTTTGTATTTAGAACATCATTTCTACTTCTGTACTGAAAATAGAGTCATGGCCTCTTAACCGGGAACAAAATTCGTGTCGAACTTTTGACATGACTCACTGATTGTCTTCAGAATTATGAGACTTCCCCTAAAATTAACCTTCCACTACTATAAGAACGCCTCAACATAAATTGAGATATATTCCCTATAAGAAAGGAAAGAACGGTATTCAGTATAATCATACGTTTCGGGCAATGGCCCTGACTGTAACATGGACCCGTATCAAACACGACGATTTAAACAGACTGAGTATGAATCTAGAATCACTCTGCGTTCAGATTGGAAAAATAAAGATGCAACGAGAACTTGTAATCTGTCACATTGTCCTTCGATACACTGGGGCAAATATATACCACAGAGCTGAAACATTCATAACAAAATCAACTCAAAAATAAAACATTAATATTCGTTAGACATTGATATTTTTGTTATTCAAGCAAACTTTCTGAGGTCCGACCACCAAAGAAATGTGTGCTGTTGTTGTTGTTCACAAGAGTTGAGACCGGGGTCACAATGGAGGTAAAAACAACTTCACGGAGCCACCCCATTAAATAACTGTACGTATTACGTGTGAGATTGTGCAACGATTTTACAACAATCAATCAGCATCAACAACAACGATAACACATGTCGTAACAATTTCTCACCTTATTTACTAAAAATATGATTCGGTTGCCCAAACAAACAAAGCAGGTGTTATTAACCTTACTGGCTAGGCATCTGATAAATTAGTCATGACTAGCCAGAAAACTTAAATCATCTACAGACACTGCTATTCTCATGGTGGACATCCGGGCATTTTTACAGCCTGGCAACCATCAAGGTGAAAACAAAGGCCGAAAACTTTCAGAAAACGGTACTTTGCGATGGTTGTCGAGACTCCCCTGAACAGTCTAACAAGATTACCTCTGCATGTGCAACATATATAAATTTGGTTTTCCAGGATTACTTCAATATTGATTTGTGCTGTTTTCTCGAGTTTAGCTATTTAGAGCCCATAGAAATACGTGGTACAGTGGTTCGCGTCTTAGCAACGTGGAACGTCCTGTGACGTAGCTCCATCCCTCAGGATAGGTTGTAAATCTGTCCGAGCTACTGGAGAATATTGTAACTGGCTGTAGACGAGATGATTTCCATCGTCTGTTTAGTTTTATTTATCATATTTTAAATGTCTGTCAAAAGTCAGATAATTTCAAAAGAAAATATTCAGTATATATTTGTATAAACCGGGAATGTGGGCCTGTTTCATCTAGGAGGTCTAGAAATTAATACCAAAATTGGTGCTGCCATCAATGCCAAAATCAGTATACTCTCACGGTTTTTCGCAAAAATCACATCTTCTTGTTTCCACCTAAATACAATTTGAGTAGAATTATTTGTACATTATACTAAAAGTCATTCATATTTCCATTGATATTTTTTCTTCATACTTCATGTGACATCCGTGCTAATACACGTCCAAAATCCGTCATACAACGGCCTCTTACACGGATGCACGGTTACTAAAAAAAGAACCGTCACGGTGGCGAATGCAACATAACCCAGGAAAAGTGCCTGGATGATTCAGGTGGCAGTACGACTCGCCGCGGCTACCGCACAGCAGTGGCGGATTCAGCAAAATGTATCGGGGGGTCCAAGCTTCGCTTAAGATATACGGAGCATAAATCGCAGAGAAGCTATGCGTAATCTAGATGATATAAATCGTCTGCGTTTGGGGGGGGGGCATGGCCCCCCTCTGGATCCGCCACTGCCGTACAGGAAACCCAACAGAACCGTGTAAATCAGGTGCATTTGTACGCTCATTACGATCAAAATATAAGATACAGAAATTGTAATCGTATTCATTGGTAATTATTCAATATAACCAGACATTTCGGACAATGAATTATGAATTATCTATTACCATCTATTTTTTTTATATACATTTAAGAAAGAAAAAGCCCAAACTAGGATCTTAGTTTAATCAGAATAATCGCTATCGCCGAAATGTGGACACTGAGAGCAGAGAATATACGCAAGTGGTAAACGTTGCGTCCGTATCTCTAGAGGGCGCTTTCTATCGAAATCCTGTTTTGTCAAACGAACTAGGTACAAGATGACCACTTTGCCAGGAGTCCTGTGCTAAATGTCAAATATTTCACCATCTTGAGGCACTGAGCCTCTCTCTGAAGATTGTATGTGTTGTTTCTCCAATAGGCCATGATACACGGATAAAGTTTCTTGACAATATTTGTTGACCTGTGTGTGTGGTACAAGTTGCAGATTCGTTACCAACAAGTTGCAACATGTTGATCGAAATAGACACGCTCTTTTCCTTGCAAGTTATTCATGGCACCCTGGCCCTGCCAACACGCAACGTTTGTTGCAAAACGTGTTTATTTTGCGGTGACCATTTAAATACTCCCATGATATTTTAATGAAAAAACATCAACATATAAACAAGAGACTGTATGCAAGTCGAGTTCACTTCAGCAATTCTTACAAAAGGCGTAAATAAGTTAGTCACAGACTGTATAATGTACAAAATGACGCTGACCCGTGGTTAGACAATGACATGGTTCAGCTGACCGTATATTTATGTATTTTGTGTACTTCTTCATTTGTTTCTGGGTCATGTAAAATGTCATACATGTTATATCAGTAATATGCATACATATGAACTTGTTGGAACTGTTCACACACACCTAAACCTCGTACCAACTCGCACATATGCAAGTTTGGTTCTAATAAACATTTGCATTGTGCTAAAATGCAGCCAACATTCTTTCCACGAACTCTGAAAAGTCCTACAAAAGACGAAAAATAAGTTGTGAGTAAGATAGTCATACATTCGTTGTGCACATTACTAGTAACATTCATTACGCGACAAACCACAAATGTGCATTCGAACCCTGGCTGAAACAGACTGTATTAGATGTGTATTCTATGTCTGCGGTCGCACAGGCTCACGTGTACAGGCGGTGGCAAGTAAATGAACAAATACCTGTTGCACTGTGTCAAACACGGTGTTAAATCGTGAAAAATAAGTTGTGAACAAGATAGTCATACGTTCATTTGATATATTACATTAGTAACATTAGATATGAACACATATGGAATATAATTTATACCCGGGCAGGATCGATCAACCTGATTTGGGGCAGAACATCCAAACCAGGGCCGGATCATCTTTATTTACTGGGCCGCATCGTTCAGATACCAAAAACTAACTTCAGAAAAACGACACTGGAGATCTCGACCATAAAGGTCTGTCATTTTGGCCGACATGACAACATGCGTGAACATTTTACAAACTTTGTGATAATTGCGAAGCGATGTGGGCAAAAGAGGGTGTTAAAGCGTCTTGTCCTAAAAAGCCAAACGTATTCCGACCACCTAAGCTAATGGTAAATTACTCGAACATAGCGAGGGTTATAGATAACAAGTTCTGATAATAAAATGTATGTAAAGGCCATTAGAGACTTAGAGGGGTAGCAGAAATCATTTGGGCAAAATACAACAGATTCATCACGGAAAAACATGTGAAAGAATAAAATATTTTGCACAGCCTTTCTGCCATCCCGAGTTTCTAATGGTTTGGCCGGCCAACCGTGTGTTTCGAGATGAGCTGCATAATTAGAGGGAACCAGTGAGAATAATCACTCGTTCATTCAAGCACACTATTGTTTCACGGTATTCTCTTTTTGGAGGATTTGGTGGCCCTGAAAAGGGCCGTTTGGTTAGGTTTGTTTGCAAGCAAGCCATTGTTCGCTCACTTCTTTTTGGGAGCAGCTTTTTTTGCTGGCTTCTTTGCCTTCTTTGCTGGCGCTTTCTTGGCGGGCTTCTTTGCTGCCTTTGGTTTCTTTGCTGGCGACTTCTTAGCTTTCTTAGGGGTCTTGGCCTTTGGTTTCTTTGCCTTTGGCTTCTTCGTCGCTGCCTTTGGTTTCTTTGCTTTGGGTTTCTTCGGTGTCTTTGGCTTCTTTGCTTTCTTCTCAGCCTTAACTTTAGCTTTCAGCTTGAAGCTACCAGACGCACCAGTACCCTTGGTTTGCACAAATTTTCCATCGGCAACACCAGACTTCAGAGCACGACGAATAAATGGAGTGATCTTGTCAAGGTCGACTTTGTAGTTAGCACCGACGTATTTCTTGATTGCCTGAAGAGACGACCCTTTGCGATCTTTCAAGTTGGTGATAGCAGCAACAACCATATCAATGGTTTTAGGATGGGTAGCCGGTGCCTTTGGCTTCTTTGGCTTCGTAGCCTTCTTCTGTGGAGCAGGTGCTGCGCTAGACATCGTAGTAGATTTGTTGTTCACTGTACAGAGTCAAAAAGTAATCTGAGTTTCCCGCTGAATGACGTGGCCTTTATTCTCTGATTGCGAACGTCGGAGAAGACATGGCCCATTCATTGCTGCAAAAACATGGCGCGTGCCCGTTCTGTTATTTAGTTTGTGTTTCAGAATAAAATTGAAACAGTGCGCTTGTCATTATCTGACTTGATGAAGGCCGTAACTTGTGTTATTCGATTTGTACAGACTTGGGACTTTTTGATAAACCATAAAGCAGGCAATTCGTAACTATATATGTTAGAGAAATCGATGTTCAAAGTTCGCGGTGTATACAAAAATGTTTTCTTAAAATTGTTTCTCAGATAAATTTTCTGTGAAAAAGAAATTGACACAAGCAAAAAAAGGCTATAAATTGTATTTTAGAATGTCTGCTAATCGAAATGAAGGACATTAGTCTTTGATAATTGAAATTTATCTAAGTTTTTGCAGTTCGAAAAACAGATTGCAAACACACTCTAGTCCATTTCAACTAGTCGAAGAGGGCGTATGTGGTAGTCAATACATCGCTCGAAACGCTTTTAACAATTTCCAGAAATGTGTATGAAACGTTGACAAAAATTATTTATGTGTGGAATTATTGCCTCGCAATATTTCTGTTCTATTTTTTTTCTTTTGCTGGGAGTATAGAAGTGGCGTAACAATTTACAAAACAATACGAGGTTTAGTTTCTGTGTAGATGTCCCAGATTTCGGACAACGTGTTCTTGTAGTTTGATTCACTAACATTTGTGAGGGTCGGCAAGGGGAATTTTCGTAAGCTGTAATCAATTGTTTTTATTTTCGTAATAATGTAATTTAAATAAATAAAAAACTTAAATTTGTTGACATGGACAACGTGTAAAATGTAATCAGCTATTTTATTTGTCCGTAATTTGTAAGAAGAGCTTATTTTTTGTAAGGGTATAATACATTTTCCACATTAAATTTCGTAATTCGTACGCAATTTCCAATTTTGATTCTTAAACACAAATAATATAAGG